TATCTTGACTCAGCTTGGTTGCAACTCCTTGAAGAAGGCTTGCATGAGGTATGCAATGAGATGGTGATCCCTGTGTGCTCCCACAAACCCTGTACTTTTCTCAATGGCAGAGTTTACTACACTGTCATTGTTTTACTCCCTGGACTAAGAGCTACTTTAAGTGCAGCAGTAAGTGTGGACTTTGGGGCTGAAACACCATAGGTAGAATCCTACCTCTGTGGGTTATGTCGCCTTGGCAAAGCTGTCTCAGTTCTCTGTCCCCATTGACGAATAAAATGGGGCTACCACTCCCCACCTCACAGAACTGCCACGGACATCAACACTGGCCCCATGCCCACATGAAGCAGAACCTCTGTAATGATCGTGTTGATGCAGACGGTTGTGAGGTGGAAAAAGAGGTGGAGGGGGAGTGGGACAATGACGTTGATGGTGATCGTGCTTATCACGTGATTTTGAGAGTGATTAACTGTGGCAAAGAATACATGCTCAACAAATATGTCTGGGATTAATTTATGTGATGGTTTCAGATGGGAAAATCGTGTCCATCCTGACAGATGCCATTTCAGTTTTGACAGACATACTCCCCTTCGGCCTCCCTCTCCTTCAGCGCTCACTGACATGAAGGGTCAGCGGGCTTTCTTGGAGCTTCCATTACAGTCTACCCCTGGTTCTACTCATCCTGTGAAACTGCTCTTTGAAATTGCCCCATTTCCTTGTTTCCCACCTTTTACCCCAGTGGGACCAACAACAACGCTAGTTCAGAACATTGGACAGCAACACAGGCCCCACCCTTCGAACATTCAGCTCTGCTTCCCTTAGGCTCACTCCACCAGCCCATTCTGCAGCCCCTGCTGTGGGCTTTTTGGCAGCTTATTGTCAGCCAAGACTGGAAATTACCAATGGGGACCCCAGCAAGGAAAACATCAACAAAGGCAGCTAGATGGAGATGGCCTTGATCTTGTGGATGCCGGGTCCAACTTTGTAAGTTGTGTCAGCCATACTATCTTGAAGTGAACAGTCAGAATGCTTGAAGGGCAGAATGAGAGAGGCTCTGTGGCTAGAATGGATGGCTTCATGGAGCATTAACTGAGATTTTTCTTTGTGTTAACTGATAGGAGGAAATAATAAGGATTTAATATCATATGATGCTGGTAAAAAGAAATCATAGGCAACTGTTTAGCTTTGAGAGAAGAGGAAAACTAGGAGTCAGGTGATCTAGCTTTCTGATTTTTAAGTTGTATAACCTTGGGTCCTTAAGAAGAATGTGAAAGCTTTAGACTTGTTGAGGCCAAAAAAGTATATAAAAATAATACTGAAATCCCTCAGGGTTTGAATATCTGCCATGTCACTCAGTGTCAGAGCCTCAATTTGTTTATCTATAGAATGGGATACCTTCTGGTTTTGAAAGTTTATGGTAATGATTAGAAATTCCTGAGTCTAGCTTGATATTGGCCACAGAGTTCATAAATTCATTTGGCCAAATGAAAATGCATCCCTAAAATTTGTTAACCACAGTTTTGTACAACCATATAGAAATTCATTTTTTCTCCCAGAACTTATCATGGCCTGAGAAAGTTAGCTAAAATATTCATTGATCAATTCAAGATATAAAATCTTTTTTGTTTTTGGTAATACTTGAAGTGCAAATACCTCATGAGGTTCTTATGAATATCAAATACAATGAAATATGATGACTCTTTGAACAGAATAAAAAAATAGAATCCAGCACAGATTCAAGACTTATCTTAAATACATATAAGTGTTGTGGGTTTGGCACAAAAGGGTTTTCCAGATGGAAAGAGCAGTTTGGGATTGGCTTACCAAAGAGAAGGAACAATTAGTTTGGAATGTTACAGCACCTATCACGTGGGAAGCATTGAAAAAAAAATACATGTTTAATGATGAATGGATGAGTAAACCTCAGGAGGGTAGGGGCTGGAGAAAAAAGAGGGGGAATGGCTTAAAGCAGGAGTCATTATAATGATTCCAGGAAGCTCTACCTCAAACTTTGAAATTAAACAGTTCTATCACCACATGCCCATTGGCTCATAAGTGAACTGAGGAGAAGAAAGAGGAGGGCCTAGTTAATTCGATATCTGCTGGTACTCCCACTCTTCACCCCAGTACTTGTCCATTGCTGTGTGGACAATGCAATCCTTAGTAGAGGTACACTAGCCTGCACTTGTCTCCCACTGTCCCTTGATCCCCAAACACAATATGCCATTTCCTGCTTCAGTTCTTTCACATATGCTGTTCCCTCGGACGACCCTCTTCCATCCCTCACTACCTGGTGAATGCTTCCTTTTTTTAAAATTGGACTCAGAAATCCCCTCCCCTCAGAAAGTCTGACACCCAGTTTGAGCTAAACCATGCTTCCTTTCTACTTCCTCAGGTACTTGAACATCATGTCATTGTTTGCATTAATTATAATTGTCACGCTGTATTATAATTATGTTATTTTTATGCATCTTCCCTTTTAAACTCTGAGTAATTTGAGGAAGGTCTAAATTGTTTTATTTCATGGGCCTTTGGGACCTTGTCTGTTAAATGGAAGATCTCTGGGGTCAGGCAGGCTTGGGTTCAAGTGGCCCCACCACAGAGTAGTCAGTTGGCCATAGGGGCTAGTGACTTAAATCCACTACAGTTCAGTCTTTCCATCTGAGAACAGGAACAGCGATATTGCTTATCCTTGCCAGACTGTTGTGTAGATCAAATATTCAGAGGAAGGACTAAGCACAGTGCCTACCCCCACAATGTTATCTATTAACATAATTGTTGTTATTTAACCATTACATCACCAGGAAAAAGAACAGTGAATAAGAAATAGGTACTGCCTCTTCCCAATGAACTTACAATCCAGAGTGGGAGAAATTAAATAGATATTTATACAATTATCATCATTATTATTTACAACTGTGACACATACCCTGAAAAAAAAAACACACCCAAAACTTTGGGGTGAGTAATGGTTAGGATAGTTAAGACTGTGACAGGCTGAATAAAGCCCCCTCTCAAAGATGTCTATGCCCCAAATCCTCTGACCCTGTGAACATGTTATCTTACCTGGTAAAAGTAGATTTGGTAACATGATTGAGTTAAAGACCTTGAGATGGAAAAATTACCCTGGATTACTCAGGCCACACAATGTAATTTCATGTGTCTTTATAAAAGGAAGGGAGGAAAGTCAGAGTCTTAGAAGATAAAAGAATGGGAGCAGAGGTCAGAGAGCAAAGATGATGCTATGCTGCTGACTTTGAAGCTGGAGGAAGGGGCTGGACCCTTCCTCCAAGGAATGTAAGTGGCTTCTAAGTTGAAAGGCCAAGGGAACCAGTTTTCCCCTGGAGCCTCTAGAAGACACACAGCCCTGCAGACCTTGAGATTTCTAACCTCCAGAATGGTTAAAGGAATGGATTTGTGGGGCTTGAAACCACCATTTGTGGAAAGTTGTTACAGCAGCAATAGGAAACTGACATACATGCTTTGAAAAGAAAACTTTGGGTTATACAATGGCAGGATAGGGTAAGTTTTATCGCAACTCCTAAATCTCTCTCTCACACACTTGTGTGTACACATGCATGTGTTTGTGTGCAAAAGGAATTTCCATGACTAGGATCATCACCTGATCCTAATCTGATCTACCCATTGTATACACGCAACAATGTTATACTTAGCACTGCACAGGCGCATGCTTGTGTACCCATTAGCAATAAGCCGTTATTGCCTGTGTTGCTGTAAAAAGAATTCCTCTGGTGCTAAGAGCAGAGCCTAGAGAAGATAGCAAGAGAGGGAAGCAGGAGAGAGGAGAGCAGAGGCTGGAGTTGAGCGTAGGGCCTGGAGCACAGGTTGAGATGGGGGCAGACAGGATTCTAGTGCTTGACCTGCCACCATGAGACTACTTGGCAAAGCCCCTTTTTACCCTCTCACAAAATCCAGAGTGAACTTTCCTGGGGCTGAACTTGCCCAAGGCTGAAACCCTAAGGCAAGACAGTGTGCTAACGTCAGGCAGGAATTGGAGAGAGCTCTGCGCCTCCTCTCACTAGAGCCCCACCATCTAGTGATGTTGCCTAGTTTAACACATGGCCTGAGTCATGGAGCCAGAATTTGAACCAAATGTTTGACTTGAAGCTATTTGATGCTCAGTATTGACCCTCATACTACATTTTGAGTTCATTAGCCAGAAAAGCATAACAAAACATGGAGACAGTTTAGCTGTGAGTTGTTTCAAATTGTACTCAAAGCAAAACAGTAGGTTTGCCAATAAATAAAATAACCATCAGTAACCTTCTTAACCTCCCCATGAGCCAGAAACTCTCCTTTGATGTCAGGTATAAACTCTTACTCTTTTTTGAGTGAGGAAGTCAGCACTCAAGGTGGTACTTGTTTTACAGTTGAGGGTTCTGAGCTTGCCCAGAGAACACAGACTTACCGCCAGGCCAAGACTGGCTCTCAAAACAATACTTTTCCTACCTGAGTGGGAGAATGGAACCAATGCATTACATATGAATCTTTGAACCATTTTAATGATACACCCAGATATTACTGTCCCAACTTTCAGAGGAACACTAGGTTTGGAGAGCTCAGGTTCCAAGGGGCGGGGCTTAAACCTGAACCTGTGCACCTCCTGCCCATGCTCCTGACCTGCGCTGCACAGCTTCCCCTGAGTGGGCGCAGCCCCTCCTACCAAGTGCTGGGGACATGAAAAGGCAGTGGTTGGGATTTCTTCTCATCCCTTTTAGCCCTCAGCTCCACACTGTCCTCCTGGCTTGGGGTAAACACAGGGCTTTATGGCAAACATTCTCACTGTGAGTTTAGAAGCTGGCTGTCTCTCCTATGTCAGTCTCACAAAGCTGAAAAAGTTAAACCTCTCCAGCACTGGTAAGGATATGGGAGATTTCTACCCCACCAGATAAGGATGAACACCTCCACTCATTGACATTTTAAGGAGTTAATGGGAAAGTACTCAAATAGTCACTTTTCCTAAAACAACTTTTTAAATGCAGGGTGTTGCCAGGTTCCGCTGGCCTGCTGAGAGATCACTGTTCTTCACTGTGGACTCAAACTACGCAGAGATGCTTTTTCTGAAAGAGATTTGAGGAACAAAATGTTTTGATGATGCCATTTTCCCTGGGCGCTGTATATGGTCACAACGGTTTTTGTGTTTCCAAGCAGAGACTCAGAGGCAAGTCTGTCCTTGGGTTTCACGGTGTTGTGTGTGGGGGGGGTGCTTCTCCTATTTTCAGCTAGCTCTGTACTTTCTACAGGCTGATACCATTATTCTAGAATTTCTGGGAGAGAACTCTTACAGAATGTGTCCTTGGAACCTCCAGCTCCTGGGTTTGAATCCCAGTACCACAACCTACTGGCTGTGTGATCTCCAGTAGATTCAACCTCTCTGGGTCTCTCAGGGGGAGTGCCCATCTTCCAGCTGTGTCTACCCTAGAGCTGCTGTGAGTTAATACACATAAAGCACTTAGACTCTTGCCCGATGCATGTAAGCGCAATAAGATTAGTCACTGCTGTTAATGACAATGATGATGAAATCACATAACCCCAAAGAACTTGAGTTTCCTTGTTTAAAATGGGTACTATCTCTGTCTGATGATTTTGTGAGGCTTGAATGAAACAATGCATCCAGGTGCAGGAACTGGCAGAGAATGGGTCCTCTGCTAATATTACCTTTCTTCTTTCCCAGGACATTAGTTTAGCCAAATAGTCACTAAGCATGGCACTGCAGTGGGTGCTAAGGGGAATTAAGAAGCACAGAGCTGGTTAGCGCACCTACTGGTAATTCATTTGTTTCCTACAATTATGGAGCCAGGCATTAGGGTCTCTTGCCCATGACATGGAGATCAGAATGAGGCAGAAACATCCCAAATTATTCCTCAGGTCTGTACCACACAGCTCAAAAGCTACTAGCATGTTAGACCAAGAATGCATGGAATGTTTGAGGCTAGGTGCTTTTTTTTCAATATGTCATCTCATTCATTAAATCCTTGCTAGTAAGTGAAGAGGCCCATAGAGGTGAAATGTTTGCCTAAGGGCACATATGCATGAATGGTGGAGATTCCATTCAGACAGAGTTCCCCAGATTCTAATTCAATGCTCTCTCACCTGCAGACCACAACCTGGGGGAAAAAAAAGTCCTGCGCATGTACTCAGAAAGAACATTCCTGAAAAACAAAACTCAGGAGACTTCTGGGGTGATTTTTTTTTTTAAGGGGGTAGAAGATGGCATTTCATGTGGATCTTTTAAAAAATAATGCCACCTTGTTTGTATACAGATTTCAAATTGTTAAAAAATCTTTCCCAACTGATTTTTTCTTACCTAAGATCGCACACTCATCTTTGAGAGGAATTTTTTTTTTCTGGTTCACAAAAGGTGGGAAAGGGTGAAGGCCACAGAACTCAGGAAAGTGGCTTGAATCATATAACATCTTCTCTGCTCAAATTCTGAATTGGGGAATTTTGATGAGATCGACTATGAATATTTGTATAGGATTCTATTATTTATAGTTGTACTTTCAAATACAGTATCTTATGTAATCCTCATAGACAAAAGAGCAAACAGGTTTTTTAGACAAGACTTAGGCATAAGAAAATGGAATTTCAGAGAAGATAACTGACTTATGCAAGGCCACATAACAAGTGGATTATTAACAGATCTAGACTCCAATTCAGGTCTCCTGATTTAAAAGTTTTAAAAACCTCTTACTATGACCATGATAAAAAGGAACCAGAAGCAAAGGTTAAGAATGGGGACTCTGGGGTCAAATATGTTTGAGTTTGAATCCTGATTCTTATGCCTTATCAGTAAAATGGAGAAGATGAAAACAGTCACATTGAAGAGTACTAGGTATAACTTTTTAACTTCTCCAATATCACGCCCTAAAATTGCTTAATTATTATTTCTGAAGCCTATTGTTTGTAACTTCTCTGTATTTAGTATGTCTTAACAAAATGTTAGATTAATCATTAAAAATCACCCAAGAGTTTGCTATTTTAGATTCTTACAGATGAGAGAAACCAAATCCAAGAGCCAGTGACCAGGGATGAAGGGTGACCGTGGCCCTAAGATCACTGCCATCTGTTTCCCATGCCAAGTGGTAATAAACACTTCTCAGATTTCTTCTCTGAGAGCTAAGCACAGCTGTGGTTTGGGAGAGGCCAAAATGACATGGTCCAAGCTTCCCCCATCCCCACCCCTCACGGGGTTGATGGGGGAAGGGTGCCACACTGAGTCGGCACATTCATTCCCTTAAATACTGTGCTGAGAAGGTCCATGGATGCCATAACCAGGTCCCCTAGACTGGCTGGCTTATACAGAAATGTATTGCCTCATTATCCTGGAGGCTCAAAGTCCAAGACCCACATGTGAGCAGGGCTGGTTCTTTCCGAGGGCAGTGAGGGAAGGATGTGTGCAGGCCTCTCTCCCCAGCCATAGGCAGCTATCTTCGTGCACACAGTGTTCTCCCTGTATCTTCACATTGCCTCCCCTCTGCCTGAACTCGTTGCCCATAATCCTTTTCCTAAGGACATCAGTCATACTAGTCATACTACATTAGCTCTGCCCCAATAACCCACTTTAACTTGATCATCTCTGTAAAGACCCCATTGCCCAATAAAGTCACCTTTGGAGGTGCTGGGGGTTAGGACTCCAACATATGGGTTTGGGAGAAGGGAACACAATTCAGACCCTAGCAGTCCATTTATTATCACTATAATCAATTTTTATTTTAGTTTGTAGAATTACCTGCCCTTTGAACCCATTGAGCTGTTCAATCTCTTTATATGTATTAATTTATTTAAACCTCAGTTGAATGCTAAGAGGTAAATACTATTATCTCCTTTTACAAATGAGGTAACTGGGGCATGAAGAGATTAAGTAACTTGCTCAAAGCTAGTAAATAGTAGAGCCAGAAACTGAAACCAGTCTGGCTGTCTCAGAGTCCCTGCTTTTAAGCATCAGGCCATTCTGTGTCTGTGAGATCATCTTAGTCCTTGCTCTCTGCTATCTCAGAGTCCAGACCTGGTCTGCTCACTGGGCCGGGGTCTTGCAAGGGAGGAAAGACCAATTTTGACCAAGTTGCTAGAGAAGGTTTCTCAAGGAGGTGCTGTCTGAGCTGAGTCTTAAATAAAGTGAAAGTCCAGCATTCTGGAAAGAAGAGTGTGCCCGCAGAAACAACAGTCTGGGGCACCAGGGGGGGCCAGGAGATTGCAGGGGAAGCACACAGGGTGGGTACCAGAGCACCCTGACCTGGTCAGCCAGGCTGAAGGGCTTGGGCTCTACCCCACAGACAATGGAGAACAATCAAAGAGAATTCAGCAGGAGAGTGGTATGATCAGATTCACCTGGTAGAATCATCTCTTCAATAGAGAAATGTAGGTGCACAGTTTGGAGAAGGGAAGACTCAACATGAAGGTAACAGTGGGCTAAATTCTGGGGTCCATGCTGTTGGACAGACCAGTTGGCACGCCATCAGCCCTGCAGCTGTGTAGATCACATAATGTTTCACCATCAAGGGTGAAACAATACAGCTCAAGAGGGCTTTGCGATATAATTTCTCTGCAAAGACAGAAGTGATTTGGCCAGTTGTTCAGAAATGTAAATAACTGGGTGATCTTTCCCTTTTCCCCTTCTCAGAATTTCTTCTGGAGCCCACAGGAAGCCGCGTCTGACCATCCGATCTTAATTCCGAGGGCATGCCACTCTCCTAAGCACGACCTCATTCACAGCAGGCCACCATCCCAGCACCATTCCTCAACTGCCTGGCCTGCTTTTTTTTTACATGGTACTTTGTCTTGTGACTTATTCATGAAAAATCAGATTATTCATGAAAAAAAAAACTTCTGAAATTGCTCTTGAAGGCTTGCTAAGCTGTTTCATAGGCATTCAGAACCTGGGTAGTAGACTCAGCTCTGTCAAAAATAAGCCACATATGATGCTGGCAAAGTCCTGCAGTTGCAGAAGGTGACAGCATGACCCAATTTTGTTTGCCTTCCCATCTTGCAGGTGAAGCCCCTCAGTGGTTCTCTCAGCCTACAGGATGAAGTACATATGGCCTTCAGGGTCTTTCACTATCTGGTCCCTATTTACTTCTTGGGATTTGATTCTGGCCTCTTAAAAAAATATTTTCAAATTAAATTATTTCAAATTATTTATTTTTTAAAAATAAAATCTTCAACTAACTGTGTCTTTTGAAGTCTCACCATATCCCTCACCTCTGCACCTCTGCCTATGCTGTTCCCTTTGCCTTATTCCCCACCCCACTTCCCTCATTCCCTGATGAAATGCTACTTACTCCTCTAACATTCAGCTCAGAGACCAATTCCTCTAATGAGCTCAGGATGAACCCCCCTCCCTGAGTTCCCTCAGTGATAACTTGCTGTGGGCTGAGCTGATCTGAAGGGTCTAGCAGAGCATCACCATGAGGTGTCTCCAGCATGAAAACCTTAGGGTACAGACCTCTTAGGGGTTCAGGGCTGATTGGGTGTTCTCACAAATAAGGTGGAAGCTGCATGGCATTTATGACCAGCTTCTGAAGTGACACAGTGCCACCCACACATATCATACTCAATTGGCCAAAGCAGTCACGATTCTGGCCAGGTTCAAGGTAAAGGAACACAGACTCCACCTCTTGAAGGGAGAAAGTCGGAGAAGTGTAGCCAAGTTTTAAAGCCACTACAGTAACATATATTAAACACTATTGTGCACCCAACACCATACTAGGCAATGTAGATAAACTGTCCTCATCATACCTCCTGCCTGAGCCTCCCCCTTGAACTCTAAAACCAAATATCTAATTGCCTATTCTTCCCCTCAGCTTACTAAATCTAAAACTGACTCCAGGTCTTGCAACCTGTTTCTTCTTAAACCATCTCATTAAATCTTGACTATATTCTTCACAGGCACTCCATCTTCACACCTCGGAGTCACTGATGATTCCTCATTTTTCTTTCACATTCTGGGTCAGACCCATGAGTTAGTCCTGCTGACTCTCCCTCTGATATATATCCAGGACTTCATCATTTCTAGCCACCTGCCCAGCTAGACCTTGGTCCGAGCCACCATGCGCTCTTGCTTAGATCATGGCAGTAGCCTCCTCACTGCTCAGCCCCCATCAGCTCTTGCTCTTAATTGTCATCTATTTGCAAAACAATAGCCAGATGATCCTTTTAAAATGCAAGTTGAATCACTCATTACACTGCTCACAACACTCAAGTTGGACCCCCATCTCACTCAGGATGATCTCAAGTTCCTACAAGGCCTCCAGGGCCCTACATAATCTAACTAACTAGTACCTCTGACCACTCTCTCCTTCGCTTGTGCCATGCCAGCCATTCTGGCTATTTTGCTGCTCCTTGAAGATACCAGACAAGCTTCTGCCTCAGGGCCTTTGCATTTACTGTTATCTCTCTGTACAATATTCTTCCCTAAAATATCCACTTGGCTAACTTCTTCATCTCCTTAAAATTTCTGCTCAAATATCACTTTGTGTTGATGTTTTCAGAACTATCCCATTTAAAATAGCAGCCTCTCAACTGCCTCACCAAAATTTCTTCCCTGCTTTGTGTTTCTATGTGGCACTTAACTGCCCTTGGAGCTTTACACATGCCTGTCTTCTCCCCTAGAATGTAAGTTGGGCATTTTGACTGGTTTGCTGATGGGTCTGCAGCACCTGCAATAGGGCCTGGCAACACGATGCAGGTGCTCAGTATATATTTATTAATAAACATTTTGACTTAAAGAACACAAAACAAAATCCTCCTTTTAAGATGAGAAATAACCCTTATCTCTTTTGATCTTTCTCCCCTTTCCCTGAGCAGAAAAAGTTGCATAACCACATTAGCTTGTCCCATAAAAATGTTATTAGCTAACATGCCCTTTTGTACATTTTTCTCTAAATTGCCTAACATTTTACCTGTTTTCCTGTTGTAATCCTTGCTGGTGATGCAGGGCTTACTGTTGGCGCTCAGTATTTGTTGTTAACAAATCTCAGCCATGCTCCAGCTCAGGCTACTGACCAGCTGGGTGATATCGGGTGACAACATTCTGTCAGTTCCCTTCCTTATAAAAAAACTGGACAAATGGTATCGACCTCACTGTGCTGTCAAGTAAATAAACTGGAATCACAGATGCCCGGGCATATCCTGGTACATTCGAGGGTGCAAAACATGTCAGTTTCTTTTTCTTACAATCCCACGAAATCTATTCAGCCTGACATTTTTCCATCAAGGAGAAGCTTCTCAAAAGTTGCCAAACAGCAGGTTGGGGGAGGGTGAATTCAGATGAAAACAATACTAGCCAGCCCTCGCTCACTCTTCTACAAAACTCAGCTAGTTGGACTGGAATAATCAGCCACAGAGAGACAGATGGACCATGTCCTGAGAAAGTGACACCTGAAATAGGTCCTTCCCAATGTAAAATTAAACCTCTGGGAGGGAAGCCACGTGATTCACGGGAGAAAACGACTTGACTGCCGTGTATAAGAAGATACAGAAGCAAAACGCATCTCTGCCCCTCCCACACACACACACACACACACACACACACACACACACACACACGAAAGTAACTGACTCATGGAAGAGGGAGCAGAGAATTGGAGAAAGAAAAAGAAAGATGTGGTTAGTCAGGTGGGAAAAATCTCCAACTATGCAAACAGCACGCTGTCATCTAAGAGTCAACTCCACCTGGCTTGGCGCCTGGCGCTTGCCCATACGCCATCTCTATTTTTCCAAGCATCTGCAATAATCTCAGAAACTAGTCATGCTAGTAGTAATTCCATTTCATGAAAGGAGCCCAGGGGGCTCAGGAGGATGAACTCACTGGTCCCAGGCCACACAGCTATTAAGCAGCAGAGCCCACAATAAAGCCTCAAGCCACAAAGAGCCCCCCTGCACCACCCTGACCTCTGACCAGGAAGCCCACGCATCGCCTGGAGGACCCACAGTCCACAGGACAAGCAAAGAGAAGCCAGCAGGCACTGAACCACGCTGCGGGAGCACGTTAAAAAGCCGGCTGGCGGGGTTAGAGCTAGGATTCCTCATGCCCGAATTCCTGAGAGTCTCTCATCCCCTCACCCTCTGGGGTGACCGGGGAGGCCTTAGTACTCAGCCTCCTTGAGTCACACCTGCCCGGGGTGAGGACGGCGGGAGCTGGCTGCCGACAGGACTGCCCTTCTTCAGGGGCCAGATGCGCAAGCAGCCTTTCCCTGCGGCTCTCTACTGGGAGGCACTAGACCCGGGAAAACCCCACCACCGCACCGACGCGCCTGACCTCTTCCATGGCTTTCCTCCGAGGCAGAGTCTGGGAAACAAACCCCGCTTCCCAGAGCTGGATCCTGGGGCCAGGAGTCCGCTCTGCTCCGCCTGCGCCGTCCAGGGAGCAATCACTTCCCCGGGCTCCGGACACACCTGAGTGCAGGCTTCCCACCTGCCCCACCTGGGCGGCGGCTCCTCCCTCTCCCGAAGCTGGAGCCTCCCAGCCGCCGGCGGGGCGCACACCGGCCTCCGTCCGCCGAACTTGGCAGGACGGGGCACCTGCGAGGGGGGAGGAGGAGCCTTCCGTCCGAAAACACTCAGCAGGCGGCCCTCCCGCAGGCCAGCCGGCCAGGCATTCTCCAGGGGCGTTCCCTCTGCCCCGTGCCCGGCGGAGTCGCGGAGGAACGGGGGTGGCACCGCTCCTGTTAGTGCAGGGCGCCCAGGCTGGACAGTGCCGTCTCCGTCACCAACAGGCTCGGCCCGGCGCCGCCCTGCGGACCGCTGCTTGACCCCAGGAAACCTTGCACGCCCACGGGGAAACCGAGGCCCCAAGGAGGCAGAGTGTGCCTAAACTCGCAGGGGGGTTGGTGGGGGCTCAAAAGGGAGCTGCCAAACCGAGCGCCCGTTTTGGCCAGGCACTGTCAAGCATTGGCTACATTATGGTACTTAAATCCTACCATGCCCTTGGGAAGCGCTATTATTCCCATTTAGAAGGTGACAACAGGCCCAAAGGGATCCTATTACCTACCCACGACCACACAGATAGTAAATAGAAGAATCAGGAATTTGAACCCAGGTCTGGCTGACTATAAGGTGTTTTTATTTGTTTGTTTGTTTTTGTCTGTTTTCCTATAGCTGGTGCTGGAACCCCAATCCTCAATTCCTGCTTCTTAAAAGCTCACAGCTCTCCTGGGCTTTGGGGGCCAGCTATAATCCACTTAAATCACTGGCTGGGAAGGTAGCCCGCGCTCCTTCATGTGTTATGAATTTTCCTGCTTTGTTAGGGCCAAACTCATGGAATACATAGCCTCTCTCTCTAGGGCTGAGGAGGGGGAGGGCAGGCGAGGAAAGCCCGCCTGTGTGCACATTTCCTCTCCTAGGCGGTTCCTACACCTGGCTGATCATCACAGAGGCCAAGGAATCTATGAAAAATACAGGCTTCAAGGAGCCCAGGAAGAAACGAGTCAGTTCTTTAAGTCTAGGGTCTGGAAATCTGGATTTTTAGTAAGCTTTTTAGGTCAGTGTGTTTTAATAATTAATGACTCACAGAGATATCTACATCATGATTCAGCATATATATGCACACACACAAATACTAAAATAATTTCTCAAAACAATCACTCTTACTATATGTGTGATCACACTGTTATTTTCTGTTTTCCTCCGAGCCATACTGTGCTATTTAATTTAAAAAAATCAATGGTCAGTACACCCCACTACATTGATTTCCTGACTCAGAGTTTGATCCATGCTCCTGCTGTGCTCACAGATTGGGGCCCACTCCTCCATGCTGACCAGGGCACAGGCCAAAGATTCTTTGTAGCTTTCTCTCCAACCCTGGTCCTCACTCTGGCCCAAAGCAACAATGTTTTGTGTACATTTGTAAATAATATAATGGAAAAAATCACCTGTAGAATCCCTCTAGAGAGAGAGAGAGAATGTGGAGCCCTCCTCCAAATCCCAGCTGATACCTGGGTTGGCAAATTCCTGTTGCTTTAATGCAAGGGCTCCCCCTGGTGGCATCAGGACAGTCTACAAGGCCAAGGGCGATGGAGTAGGTGGGAAGGGCTCTCACCTGCCTGTGCATCGATGGACTGGGAGCTCTATCTGTACTTTTTGTCTGGTTGAGGACAAGTTACAATGGTAAGTCATAAGATGTAGTAGGCAATTACTGGTAACTGTTAGAAGTGTTTTTCAAATAGAAGTGTGACTCTTGGAACCACATACGATCCCCGTTATGATCCTCAAGGTACTAAACTCAGTTTCCCCACTAGCTGTTGGCCTTGGGAATGTCAATAGTCCCCTCTGAGATGTGTGTTCCTCATCTATAAAAACAGGTAAGAGTGTTGGTTTAAGGATCAATGTGCGATTTGAAAACCTTCACAGTGCTTGGCATTAAATTGGCACCAAAAATGTCAGTTCCTCTTTTCCTCCCCACCCCACTGCTCAGTTAATGGTGGCTGTGTCAGGGTCAAAATGCACGTGCTCTACCTGGATGTACAAATGATGTAGCATTGTTTTATTTCCTTATAATGATCTCATTTTCCTCATGAGTCCCCGTTCTATGCTTGTGTGAGAGGGTGTAGGTAGAAAAGGTAGATACAAAGTACAGAGATTGTGAGAAGGGTTTTGGGTGTGAAATTTGGGGATTAACATACATTTAGCCAGATCTCATTACAATTTAGGAATAAATAATCCAACTGAATAATGAAGTAGGAGAGTCTACTATATATACACGGTGCTTGGTGGCTTGGTGGTAGCTATGGACCAGGATGACTCCTGCTGTGATCTCCACTTAATCATGGACAAGGAAATGATGGATAGAGCATCTACTGCCTGTCAGGAACAGTGCCCCAGATTTTACAAACATTACCTTATTTAGTCCTTAGTATGATCCTCATTTTCCAGTTGGGGAAACTGAGGCACACATGAGTTACATCGTTCATTCAGGGCAGTGCAGTTAGCAAGTGTAAGAACAGCCATTCCAATCCAAGCAGTCTGGCTCCAGAGCCCATGGTCACAACCATTCTGGTTGCTTCCATTTAAATCTCAGAGAAACGCAGAATAATAAACTCACAGAATCTGAGTGCTTAAAGGATTCTTTGAAGCAAGTCTTTCCAAACTCAGTTTTGAAATGAGTCATTGAGAATGCTTAGCAGATACTCGGGCTCAAGTTAGACTCAAAATCTTCTAGACATTTCTGTCTTCCAAGTCCCGAGCTTCAATTTGCTCCTCCTGGTAATGGGGATGATGTGCCATACTCTCCACTGAGGTCCCACCCATTCTTTGGCATAATGAGCAGTAGAAATCAGTATTTCCAGCACATTCTTCATGTGGCCAAATCTTATTTTCAGTCTCCAATACTGATTATAGCTTTTGAGTGTTTCCAGTCACGTCTAAATCTTTTATTTCTTGACAGACATACTGCTTACACTTTATATCATACGTAATGGTTTATAGAATGCTCTGATGAAAATAAGGATTTAAAAGCTGTCTGAAAATGGGAAATCATATGCATTTACCTCTTTCTAGCATAAACTTTAAGTACTCTGTGTTGCTATGATGACAAAGCCAGAGCATGTGGACTGACTTGGCAGAATTAGGATGGTGCTGCCAGAGAAACCTATTATTAATATTAAAATTATTATTGGTTACATTAATCATTTCTGAGGATTTCTAGTGTAACATGTAATTTATTTATGTATAATTTATATCCTGACTGCTCTCAAAAAAGACAGAGGAAAAAAGGAAAGGAACTTAGATTTATTCAGAGTCTATTGTGTAACAAGTTACCCAGTGTGTAGGTATTTTAATCTATTTTTCATTACAATGTGGTGAGATCACAGATGCTGACAAGTGAAGAAAATGAAGCTCAGCAAGGTCAAGGCAAATGCCCCAGTCTTGCAGACTACAGGTCTGATTCTCTGGTTCTGCCCTACCTGAATCTATTGCTCCTTCCTCCACTCCATGCTGTCCCCAGAAGGACTAGAGGGAGCGGGCAGTACAAAGCCGAGGAGAATAGGATGGTTAAAAGTGGAGCTAATAGCCAGGTAGAGGACAGAGCAGAGGGGAAAGTGAGAGAGGATGGATTAAACAGTGCAGAAATATGGGATGATCGCTACAAGGCATATATAGCTTAGAGGTATGGTTAAATACCTCTTCCGTGTCTATGTTCCCTGCTCACTAGCTGTGTTACCAGTGTGGCCAAGCAGCTCAGTCTCCACGCTGCCCTCAGCTTTGGCATAGTGAAAAAGGCAACACCGTCCACATTTGGGATGGAATGTTAAATAAAGGGAGAGGGAGAGTGGTGGTCTCTGAGGTCAGTGTGGCTGCGGCACTGGTTATCAAGAGACCCCACAGAGCTGATGAGCCTGGAGAAAGGGGAGAGACACTCAGATCAAGTTGAGGATATGGGGGTTATTTCATTTAGGGATATAAGATGAGCAGAGAAAATTCTTGGTATGCACCAAATCCTAGTTCCTTTTCCTTGGGTATGTGAGAAGACTATTTCCCAGCCTCCCTTGCAATTAGCTTTGGGTATGTGACTAGGTTCTGGTCAGTGGGATATGGGAAGAAGTAATGAATGTTACTGCTAGGCCTGCTCAAGTATCTACCTTTTCTCTTCTTTTGCAGCAATCTCAGAAGCCGTGTGTTTAAGATAGAAGAATTACACAATGGAAGGAACCTAGATTCCTGAGTCTCTTCTTCTAAGAGAGCTAGTAAAGAGATCTCTCCAATTGTCATCGGACTGTGATATAAATAAATCTTTGTATATCAAACTATTAACATTTGAGGGTTATATGTTCCTGCAGCATAGCCTGTTTTTTTTCTGACTAATACAGTGTTTTTAAAGTGTATTAGTGAGCTATAGTAAAACTCTGCCAGTGCATTGGTGGTAAAATTATAGGAAAAAACAATGGATCTGGAGATAAGGAAATTAATCCTGGTATGGGTTTAGCTAACTTCTTGAGGGTCGAATTGAAGGCCAGATTTTATGACTAAACCACATGATCGGGGCTGATAGGAATAACAGATATCTTTGATTTATTGAGTACTTCCTTACTTCCTTTTGTCAGGCGCAATAGTCATTACTTTACCTATGTCATATATATACCATTCAATCTTCCCGGTAATCTTAGGAGGAAAGTGTCATTACGCCCATTTTATAGATGAAGAAACTAAGGTGCTAGAGATTAAGAGTCTTTTTCTCTAGGCTACACAGCCCATAAGGGGCAGAACAGGGTTCAAACTCAGATCTGCTCGAGGTAAAGTCAAGTGCTGTTAACCACAGTGCTACAGGGGTGGCCAAGCTGAGGTTCACAGGGGCGGCACGGAGGTGATTTTAGGGGAGGGATGTTGTCAGCTAGTTAGAGGCGGATTATGGCTGCAGCATCTAGGGGATGCCTCCTAACACTTACGGAAAGAACCTGCAGTGCCTAGAAAGGTTATCAGGGCCTTAGGCAAATAGGCTGGGATTTAAGTCCACTGGGAGAAAGAGTGAATGTCAGGAATAGAAGCAGATGGTCAGTCAATGGAGAGACGTACACACAGTGAAGCTGGGTGAGACACACGGCACACTCTTGAAGGGAAATTCATCCTGGAGAACAGCGGAGAGCAGAAGAGCAAGCATAACACCAGCCGGCCGCTGCTGGTGTGGATATGCCCTACCATCCTTCCTGCTTGGCTAGGAGGAGCTCAGGGTCTGAGCAGCCTTAGGCCTCCCAGTCAAAGGCCTCTATACCTGCTTAGTGTGTAGCTGGCACAGGCAGGGAGACAGATCAGATGGGATCCTTTCCTGGAGCCATGCACTCATGGGCAGACAAATCTAAAACCACACATTTAATGCTTTATTAGAAATGTGGAGTACTATGGAAAAGCTGTGTATTTGATTTCTAACTAATCCTGGTCCAACGACTTACTAGCTGTTCTTCAAATGAGTGGCTTGTGTCCTTGATCCTCAGCTTCCTGATCTGTAAAATGGGGCTCACAAACTCAACCTCGCACATGGCTCTGAGGATGAAATGACAGAAGGTATACAAAGAATCATGACTAGTAGTTGACACCTACCAGGCATTTGGCCGAGGCTGGATCTCTCCCCTCTTTTGTCTCCAAAGAACGGAAGGTGTCTGTATCTGGATAAAGGGAGAAAAGAGGCTTCACAGTGGGAAGAAGGCTTGGTCT